TGAAAACGCTTTGCTATCTTCTTATAGCCTTCTCCAGCTTTGTGAGCGTCAACTATTTTCAGTTTCAGTTTTCTAGACAACTGCTTAGAAGAACTTATGGTGCTGATTGTTGGGACAAGGTCAGATGAGTCTGGGCATTTAAAACCTTTGAGATTGACATGGGCATTTAAAACCTTTGAGATTGACATCACCTGGTCTTCCCAGACGATGATTGAGAACAAATTATTCAAAATTGTTATTTTGAAAGTGTAAATGATGGAAATAAAATCTAACTTTTGTTGACTTATTATAAGAATGTCTAATCTGTAATTTGATGCCTTTTGGAGATTTTTCCATCTTTCCTTGGCTTCTTTATGCACATTAATACAAATTTTTAGCTGGGGTGCCCAAACTTTCGATCCCCACTGTATATATATATATACAGAGAACAACAGCACAGCAAAGAGATTACAGAAAGGAGGTTAAAGGGTTAAAGTACTTGCCAAAGTCCTGGGTTAAGCAGATCAAGTTTTGGAGCAAAAGGGCATGTCTCCCAAGGTAGTTCTGATGTTAAAAGGGAGAATTCTTCTACTTAATTTCTTAGGCCTGACAGCCCATTTTGTAGTTCCCTAGCAGGGGGTGTCTCTGAAGTCAAGGACCAATACCCCGTTTAGGGAGGGAAGGTCTGGGCGTAGACCTAAACTAGAGCCAAAATCTCTTATAGTTCATATTTTGGCTCATAACTTTCCCTATGCACAAGTGACATTCCATCCGCGGGTAGATTATTATGAAGACGCATCTGAGGAATGATTAGATATGAAATTATATACTGAATGGGTCAAGATATCTACTTTTCTGCTTTCCCATGTATCCCAGCCAAGGAGAGTGACAATACAAACTGTTGGTCTCCTCGTGGCCAATCTGAAGATATGCCTGGTTTTTATGTAAGGCTCTCATATTCCAAGATATGAGACATAGGGGAAAAATGGATTTTAAAAGTGTTATCTGGTTTGTGCTCCTCTAGAATATCTTTGAACTCCTGGTAAGGCTTAGGTTATCCTTTACAAGGTGCTAAATTGCACAGCTCTCTTAGACAACCAGGCACTTCAGCTCAAAAATATTTTATAGCTCGGGGCTTTCTGCTGTGCCCTGGCCTGTCTGAGACACTTCTAACACCCACACTGACCAGATGTCACTGTGGCTCTCAGAAAGGGAGGGGGAGATTGAGGGGAGACATGGAGAATTCTTAACAAAATGGAGGACTGCGTCCTTCTCTGTGTGTACGCTTGCTACAGGTATATGTAAAAGTTTACAACCACTTTAAAGTAATACCACTGAGGCTGAACTATTTCACAGAACCAGGAATCACAAAAAGTCAGTAGCCAAGAGTCTTCTCACCACAGTAGGCATTCTCCAAAATCCAGGCGTTTTCACATAGGTTTTTAAAATGGCCCTTCTTTTTCAAGCTGGTGCCCAGCAGTAGTAGACAGTGGTCCTCTTTTGATGGTTAGGGGTCTGCTGATGGCCACAGTCACTTGGAAAGTCCAGCAAGTGAAACACGAGTGTGGACTCTCAGAATCCAGGTCCCTTCACTTTTAGCATTACACATGATGGCAGCAGCAGTATCTGATCAGCACTCTTCTCCTGGGAAACATAGCATCAGATAGCTCCAGCAAACTCTGGCCACACACCACTGTTCCCCTTTCATTTCAACTTTGTGGAGTTTCTCTCTCAGCTGGTCAGGAAATGGTTGTAGCAGCCAATGGTCCCCATAGTGGCTTCCTCCCTGGATTCTGCAGGCTGGGTGGCACAACAGAGCCCTCCTTCTCCAGCAGGCCAGTTCACTGTCCCCTAGCTCAGCCAATCACTGTCCTCCAGACCCAGCCAAGATGGCTACCCCTTCACTGGAGGCATGCCACAGATGAGCATTGCAAAATGGGCTCCTTAAAGTGTTACTGAACCCACAACAGTAAAATCAGTCTGTATATGCAGTAAAGCTTGCTTGTTATACTCACTATTGAACCTAAGGGGTTAATACTCCCCATTATGTAAAAAAGGCTGTTGGATCCTGTCTTCTCCGATCCTCCCCTTCTTACAAAGTCCCCAATCCCTCTGCTGATAGTACAAAGTCCTAAGAGGCACTCTGCACATGCTCAGTTTGGTGAGTTTTTTTTTGTTTTTAAAAGGGCGCATGGGATCAGCACGGAGCCAATCAACACTGTACAGACAGAGGAGCAGAGGTCAAGCAGCTTCATAAGACAGTCAGAGGAGAGTGAAAACTCCTCCTACAAGATTAACCAGTGCCCAGCTGGATAAGGATAGAAGTCACAAGACTGCTATATACTGCTGATGAGAGAAGGTATTTAGCAGCTTATATTTACTAAAATAACTGCAATTTCATGTTCTGTGTACTGTGGGAGACCAGATATAGTGAATGCAGGGCAGGGGCGGACTGACCATTTGGAAACTGCCCGAGGGCTTGGGGTCAGTAGGGGGCCCCATGAGATGCCCCTGGTACCTTTTTCATAGGCTTTTTTGAGTTTGGGCAAGGACACAGGGGCCCCATGATCCCCTATTGCCGGGGGCCCCATGAGTTGTCAGTCCGCCCCTGATGCAGGGTCCTGAGTTTATTAACACTTTAAAGATGGCTGCTGCACTTTTATTAATAAATATTCAGTTTAACCCTGTCCACACTGCAGAAGGATAACACGGGCAACAACAAAAGAAGAGGCTTCACAGCAGTTATCAGCTACGGTCCAAGTTACACTAGCATCAGACTCTGCAAGATGGCACACACTTTAGAGCACATTCACTGCTCATGCCATCTCACAATGTTATGGAAATGCCCAGTCGGATTAGCTTTTCACGAACATTTTATATGTCCAGTTAATCAGTTACATTGCCCAAATACTTGATGTCAATAAGTGTGCAATTTCTAATTAGCCAAGCTTTAAGTACTCACCAATGGTCAGGTGTTCTTTAGCCGCTCTCTGGCTCAGAGGTATTATATTCACTGGCCCCAATACTCAGGATTTCCCATTCCATTAAGTGTTTTTCTGGTCTTGCTTGTATTAAATTAAATAGAAGCTATTGTCTTTTAAATGTTTATGCAGATGTACATGTGAAACTGACCAATATAATGTAAACAATTTATTCAATGCATATTAACTTTTTGAAAACATTGTTTTTATTATAAATTTGTTTTTTAACCTGCAATTCGCTGTTATTATTATTCACATGATATATGGGACTGACAGAGACTGCTCATATGTAACATAAGGCTGCCATAGACTGCTCACATGTGACCAAAACCTGTCGGAGACTGTGCACTTGCAACAAAAGACTGTCAGATACTGTGATCTAGACTGCCTAAGCCGAGGACTCATTTATAACAGCATTTTCATGGCAAGAGAAAGGTGCCTTTTCTCTGACTTAAAGTATATGCAAACCCTCATCTTGTAAAACAATTCATTCAGATAAAAATAGAATTTAGACATGCTTGTTTTGATTTTGGTTCATTTTTTCAGACGAAAATTTCATTTTCGAAGATTTAGATTTATACGAATCTCCAAATGGCCATAGCAAGGAATGTCAACGAAACTGAAAAAAAATTATAATGAAATTAACAAATACATTTGTTTCATTTGGATGCCTTCACATGATGCAATAGTAGTTCCGGTCCATGGGGTAATTAGATACATTTTCACATTTGTTCAATAATTCAGATTTGGAAAATGAATGGATCTAGATTTCCTTCGGATTCGGATAATGAATGATCCAGATTTCGTTCCATTTGTTATTTGGATGCGCATGACGCCCGTCAGTATTATCAACTGTTAGTCAACAGGCAATTGTTAGTGGTATTATCACAAAGTGGAAGCAACTGGGAGCAACAGCAACTCAGCCACGAAGTTGTAGGCCACGTAAAATGACAGAGCGTGGTCAGAGCATGCTGAAGTGTACAGTGCGCAGAAGTCGCCAACTGTCTGCAGAATTAATATCTAAAGACCTCCAAACTTCATGTGGCCTTCAGATTAGCATAACAACAGTGCTTACAGAACTTTATGGAATGGGTTTCCATGGCCGAGCAGCTGCATCCAACCCTTATATCACCAAGTGCAATTCAAAGCATTGGATGCAGTGGTGTAAAGCACACCGCCACTGGACTCTAGAGCAGAGGAGACCTGTTCTATGGAGTGACGAGTCACACTTTTGTGTCTGGCAATCCGATGGCTGTGGTTGCCAGAAGAACGGTACTTGCCTGACTGCAATGTGCCAAGTGTAATTTTGGTGGAGGGGGGATTATGGTGTGGGGTTGTTTTTCATAGGTTGGGCTTGGCCCCTTAGTTTCAGTGAAGGGAACTCTTAAGGAGTCAGCATTCCAAGACATTTTGGAGAATTTCATGCTCCCAACTTTGCGGGAACAGTTTGGGGATGGCCCCTTCCTGTTACTACATGACTACCCATAAAGACATAGATGAACGAGTTTGGGGTGAAGGAACTTTACTGGCCTGCACAGAGACAGAATTCTTTAATGAAGGAATACATCCAAAACAAATGAAAATTTCTGGCATGCACGTCTAATAGAAATGAAAGGTAAAATATTTCTGACTAGATATAAAAAACATAAAATAGTTTTTGCCCTTTTTTACAAATGATCACATACCCTCTGTTCTCAGCTGCATATAGAGATGAGAGAGGAGAAACAGCAGAACCCTGATCTTCCCAGTGAATGGCTGTGCAAGGGGTATATCAGGACAAGAGAGCAGGCTGAGCTCCAGCACAGCTAGAGAACTGACCATGCTGTGCTTTCATGCCTAATGTGGTCAGTTTTTGATAGGAAAGCAGATGGAAAGGCAGGAACATCAGGGATTTCACACAAAGGAAAACAAAGAGAACAAGCTACTTTTTAACCACCTTCCACCTGCCATATAGTACAATGACGGGAGCAAGGTGGTTCTCTCATTCTGATAGGACGTCATACGACGTCCTTCCATTCTCACCGCGCATGCGCGGCTCAGGGAGCGCGCAGCGTGGCGATCGCCAGTGTGCTGTGTCCCTTTGGACACAGCGGATCACGGAAAGAGCCGAAGATGTCGGCTCGGTCATGTGATCAGCTGTGGCCAATCACAGTTGATCACATGTAAACACGGAAATGCTGGTTATCAGCATTTCTCTCCTCTCGAGCTGTCACGCTGACAGCTCGAAAGGAGAGGAGAGCCGGTAATCGGGATATGTACACTGATCATCAGGGCACTGATGATCAGTGTGGCCCCAGAAGTGCCACCTGTCAGTGTCCATCAGTACCAGCAGTCAGTGCTCATCAGTGCCACATCAATGCCACATATCAGTGCATACCAGTGCACATCAATGGCACATATCAGTGCCCATCTGAGCTGCCTTTCAATGTCACCCATCAGTTCCAGTCAGTGCCACCTATCAATGCCAATCAGTGCCACCTATCAGTGCTGCCAATCAGTGCCAGCCAGTGCCAGTGCCAGTGCCGCCTATCAGTGCCACCTATCAGTGCCATATATCAGTGTCATGTATCAGTGCTGCCTTTCAGTGCCCATCAGTGATGCCTGTCAATGCCCATCAGTGCAACCTACCAGTGCCTCCTCATCAGTGCCACCTATCAGTGTCCATCAGTGCAGCCTATCAGTGCCCATCACTGCAGCCTCATTAGTGCACATCAGTACAGGAGAAAAATCACTTATTTACAAAATTGTATAACAAAAACTAAGAAAAAAAAATTTTTTTTTCAAATTTTTCAGTAGTTTTTGGTTTTATAAAATATAATAAAATTATAAAAATTTCATATGGGTACAGTGCATGACCGCGCAATTGTCATTCAAAGTGTGACAGCGCTGAAAGCTGGAAATTGGCCTGGGCAGGAAGGGGGTATAAGTGCCCTGTAGGCTAGTGGTTAATACAAGTACATGGCACAGCAGGCATATATAAGGAATATGAAATGTTGGGTTTACATATACTTTAAAATCCAGGCTTCACATTCCCCCTCCACTCTAGGCTACTCTTCCATCCCTCCCTTGAAAGTCAGCAACAGCATGTTTCTACTTTTTTTACTTTCACTATCTTTTCCTAAGTCTTCAGGCCAATTATTTGATTCAGCAGCATCGTCTTCTTCCTCATCTCTTCTGTGGACTAGGCAGTTAAAGAACTGTGCTTATATTATGAAGTCAGCACTGCTCTCTGCACCAGTACATTTTGAATAATGGCCACCATGGCGATGATCCCCCGAGTTGGGTTTTAAATTATAAAGTTATTCTGTTGCTGCTGAAATGCACCTAGACCGATTTGTGTAAACCGTTAGTTTTATTTTTAATTGAAACTTTAGTTATTCATAGAAAAATGGCACTAAACAGGATACAGTCCTACAGGGGGGGGTAATTGCACATACTTCTAAATGTCTTCTAAAAAGCCTTAAAGCGACGCTAAAGCTTCGTTTTTGTTCTTTTTCTAAAATAATGAATATATCTACACTTACCTGCTCAGTGCAGTAATTTTGCACAGAGCAGCCCCGGTCCTCTTCTTTTCGGGTCCCCGGCGATGCTCCCGGCTCCTTCTCCTCAAGCAGTGCCTCCAGGAAAAGCCGCTCATCCTGGGGGCACCACTGCATGCTCATCCATGTTGAGAGCAGGCCTACCGTTTTCTGCATGTTCCTTTTGGACCATCATTATTACAAGCAGTGCTCCACAATTCAGAGCTCCCAGAGTGCACCAGAAGACTAGTGCCTACACTGTAGTGCTGCTGGCCATTTAATACAGTAATGGCAAGTTAACTTTAAAGGGTATGGCATGGCAAAATAAATCTATTGCATTTTATGCCCATTTCTCCATTCTTTATTGATTTAAAGACTCTGCAAGTACACAAAAGTACTTGCCACAAAATACACTCAGCTGTTAATTTCCTTTTCTGGGCTGACAACACACCCAGGTTTTTTTTAGTGATGTGAGCCCTATCAATTGTCTTACTAAACTCTCTTCTTATTCATAGTATAAGGACTTTAGCTGCCCATACACACTGGCTATACAAAAAAAAAAAACACCCCAAAAAAATGGGGCTGGTGGAGGAATGGATGGAAAGATGCTTTTTAGTCCACTTTATTTTTATTTCCATTTACCTATTTTGAACACGAGAATACATTGATGAGAAAAATTATCCTAATAATGATTATTATGATTTTGAATGCAGATTTTATATCATATGAACATGACTATATCATATGTATGGATTTCTAAATTTTTACTTTTCTTTTTATCTTATTGTTTTAATTTAATTATTTTTATTGAGAATTGGTGATTTTGTTGAATATGTATTTGTTCTATGTAACGCAGAGCATCCACCTTGCCGTGGTCCGTTAGTGTAGGTATATACCACTCACAGTGGGGCCATTGAGAATGCCCTGGATATGTAAATACGCACTTCACAGTCATATTTCAAGATCTTTATTTATGGAGCACTGTCACTTTATCAGACAGGAGCTTGCTATTCCATTAATTCCCTGGGGTCTGTGGCTGACTATCTTACAGCTACTAGGATGGGAAAGCGGAGGAATCTCCAAACCCTCTCTGTACAATTTACAATATCCGGATCCACGGCAAAATGGCGTTTCCATTCGCGCGCATGAGCATTGCGGGCTCTACGGGAAGATGGCCACGGCTAATTGCGCATGCGCCGTCTTTCTCTATATAATACATTGACGTCGGTCATGCATCTGTACAGCCTCCCCTCTGATGATGTGCCTGTAGCACGAAAATCCTAAGGAGGAGCTGTGCAGAGAGTGACGTCATTCTTACCGCCGGAGCCACGAGGAGGCCCGGCGGCCATCTTTATTGGGGTCAGTAATGCTGTCTTTCACTTCCTACTATATGTTGTGATGTGCATACTGCCCTGTTGTTGCTTTTGATCAATAAATTATCTATGAACATACTACACTATCTCTGGCACCTGTTTCTTGGGGCTCCTTTGTGGAGCTATTACCCCCACAGAGAAGGTGCCTATACCATCCAGAGGAGTGATCAATACTACCAGTGCGGATTACCTGACTAACCTTAAGGGGACCTCTGGACCTGATTTGGAGTCTTTGATGACCCACCGTGAGAGGGATGCCCACAACTTGGTCTTCGATGGATCTGACATCTGGGATGATTATTCCTACATACGCATAATCCATGTGTTTCTGGTGAGTGCGCATTGCTATTATTTGAAGCAGTAAATATATTCTGGGAGTTTTTCTTCTAATCCAGACAACACCGTGGATATCACATAGACTTCTACTGCCTTTAATTGTTTTTGAGCGCTGCACTGTTTATTGTTTACATTTATTTACATACATTTTGAAGGTATCATGGTTACCGGGAGTGTTCTAGCTGCTGTATATATTTAAAAGCGCTCACTACAATTTGTTTTATTATCTGGAACATTGTATTTTGACAACAGCACTCACTGTTGTTCAAAATACACTGATCAGCAGTTGCAGCTGCTTCCAACATGTCCCTTTGACAGATGTCTATCTGAGAATTAAAACTGAACTTCACTCTGTCAAACAACATGGACTATTTCTAATCCTTATGCTGCTAGCATTGGTAAATAGATAGGCAATTATATCATAATAACTTGTTTTAACTTTTTTTTGCATTACTTCATTTACTTCATGGTTTCCATGCCTAGCAAATGGTGTCATACATCCCAGGAGTCTTCAGGAGGGGAGAAAGGGTTCTCAGCTCAGACAATGCCTGAGATAAGGGCAGGTGGATTAAAAGAAGTAAATGTTCCATGAATCATCTGCCCTTACTCAAGATGGCCACTGCCAGAAATGCCAGGGGGTGTTTTTCAAAATGATTTCTCAGCAAAATAAAGCACTGAGACATGGATGGGTGGTGAAGCATTTTTGAATATTAAAAGATAAAACAAACTATTTGCAATGGTATATTTAACCACTTGCCTACCGGGCACTTTCTCCCCCTTTCTGCCCAGGCCAATTTTCAGCTTTCAGTGCTGTCACACTTTGAATGACTATTACGTGGTCATGCAACACTGTACCCATATGACATTTTTTATCATTTTTTTGTGACAGATACAGCTTTCTTTTGGTGGTATTTGATCACCACTGGGGTTTTTATTTTTTGCTAAAGAAACAAAGCAAGACCAAACATTTTGAAAAAAAAAGTTTTTTTCTTAGTTTCTATTATAACATTTAGCAAACAGGTAATTTTTCTACTTCACTGATGTGCGCTGATGAGGCTGAACTGTTGGGCACTGATTTCAGCACTGATGGGCAATTATAGGCTGCTCTGATGGGTACTAATGAGGTGGCACTGATGAGGCTGCACTGATGGGCACTGATAGGCTGCACTGATGAGAACTGACAAGGAGGCACTGATGAGGCTGCACTGATATGCGGCACTGATGAGCACTGATAGGCAGCACTAATAGGCAGCACTGAAGGTCACTGATAGGCAGCACTGACTGGTGACACTGATGGGAACTTACTGGCAGCACTGATGATCACTGACTGGCGGCATTGATGGACACTGACTGGCGGCATTGATGGACACTGACTGGCAGCACTGATGGACACTGACTGGCAGCACTGATGAATACTGTTGGGACTGCTGATGGACACTGTTGGGGCTGGGGGCTTCACTGGACTGCCTCTGATTTTTTAACTACACTTGCTGACTACAGGCTCTCCTCTTTCCTCACTCTGTGACAGCATGAGGTAGATCAGCTGTGTCATTGGGCACAGTTGATCATGTGGTAAAAGGGCGTTGTTACTGGCCCTTTATCATGTCATGTGATCAGTTGTGTCCAACGGACACAGTGATCACAGAGCTCGCCAGGTGCGCGTCCCAGGGTGTGCGCAAGAGACACATTTCTGGAGGACATCACATGATGTCCTCCCAGAACTAGAAGACCACGCTGTAGCCGTCATTTGGCTATAGCCTAGTGGTCAAGTGGTTAACAGACAAAAAGGGAGCAAATAAGATAAGTTCATTAGCAGGACTCTTGTACACCGCAGCTTGAAAAAGCTCAATACAGCATTTTTTTTAAAGTGAGGTAAAATATAGACCATTATTTACAATGTGCCTTTGCACACATATTCCTCAGTAGAAAAAACAGAAAATCTACATTTTTGGTCAGTAATTTACACTGCGTTTGCACATTTGCATGCAAATACGCACATATGAGCATAAACATTGATGTATTTTCCCTAAAAATATATTGTGCATGCAAATGCATGCAAGTACATGTAAATACGCACATAAACATGCCCAGATACACACAAAACATATGCCTGAAATTACGTCCCAAAAAAAGCAGATGCTGAAACATCAGTAACGTGTGCAAGAGGCTTTAGGGTTTTTATGCTTAAAAATCTTTCTTTGTTAAGATTTCCAAAACCAAGCAGAGTATTTCAAGCAGGGGCAGACTGACAATTTGGAAACTCAGGCACTGCCCGAGGGCCCGGGGTCAGTATGGGGCCCCATGAGATGCCCCAGGTACCTTTTTCATAGGCTTTTTTGAGTTTGGCCAAGGACACAGGGGCCCCATGA